CCCCCCGCGCCCCCCGCCATACCGGGTGGACCGCTCGGGCCACGCAGACCTGGCAATCCTGTGTTACCCCGGCCACCAACGATGCCTTGAGGACCTGTTTCACCTGGTGCCCCCTATTTAGGATAAGGGGAGACCAGTCAGTGTTGAGGATCTTCCGTGTTCAACAGGTACCTTCTTATTCTTGACAGACATAACCCTGTCTATTAGTGTAACAGTCCCCAGCTGGACATGTACTTACCCTTTCTCCTCGTGCGCCTGGTGATCCTTTTTCTCCTGGTGGGCCGGGCTCACCTCTTGTTCCAGCAGGTCCTGGACTGCCAGGAGAACCAGAGCTACCAGGGGGTCCAGGAGGCCCATCTTTGCCTGCAGGTCCTGCGTTACCAGGGGGACCTGGGCTACCCTGAAAGGGATTTTAGGGAGAAGAGCAAGAGCTGTGTTATCTGAAGCAGCAGCACATGCGTACTGGCGTTGAGCTTTCCTCATGAAAGCCAACCAGACTCGAGTCATTCCCTGAAGGTGGGTTTAGGGTCCAACCTCTGAGCACCCAAATCTGATGTGGTCTTAGAATCCTTTTGCCTATGACTTTGAAACCTGATTTTTTTTCTCCCTACTGCCTCCACATACGGTTTGCATAATGCAACACCTGCACAGTTGGGATGCTCAGTGCCTGTAATGCATCCAACACAGGATGCACGTTCCTCACCTAGGGCTCTGCCACAGAAATTTGAAATAGTTGCAGACCCCACTGATTTCTTGTATTGCTCATGCTAGACACCCTTAAGGTGGTGACTTGGACATGTGCAGAATGAAATGTCTTTCATTAGAACTCTTAGCTTAGCCAATCAATGGAAAGAATGAATAGTACCCTAAATAAAATCCTACTTTTTTTTGTTCAGCGATATTCTATTTAGTGTCTGTCAGTAACTGTAAGACAGAAAATAAAAAACAAATACAAAAGTTTTCTTACTTTATGTTTCAGTTACCATACAGCAAAGCGTAACTTATAATTTTCATTTTAAAAATGAGTAAATCCATTTAATGCTTTGCATTTTCTTAAGTTTTAAAGAATCAAAAATCAGAATCTGATTTTTACCATGTGAATCAAAAGCGGGTTCAACTAAGACATGCAGATATGTTAAAGATATGTTAAGAAACAGCTTTTTGTCACACACAGATACTGTGTTGCATATGGGAATTAGCTAGTGCATCAGCATACATTTTTATAACAGGACGCCCGCCGACTGGTACGTTAAACTTCAGCTGTAGGCCATGTCACCAGAAACACTTTGCCAAGATAAGTAAATTTTATGCCACTCCATTCTACAGGCAACTAAAAAACCTCTCAACGGTGATCTACAAAATGTAGATTTGGAAGTGCATACCCATTCAGGATCCTGAAGTGAGTATTTCTTGCATCATGAAAGAGCAAGAAAGAAGACAGGAGGTCTGCCGCCAACAGAAATGCTCAAGGACCTGATCCAGGAGAAGGATTCCACTAACTGGGATGGGCTTTGGAAAGCAAACCATAATAGAAGAAGGAGCATCAAGGCAGCAGGTGACAAGTTGCTGTTCCATATGAGATAACTGAACTCTCTTTTGCAGAAGTTTTTCCCTAAGTCCCAACATCCTATTCTGGATGCTTTTCCGTATGTTTTATTCATGTCAAGGGACACACAGCTTAATACACAGTTTAATATATTAATATATGTTTAAATATATCCACAGGGTAAGAACAAAAGAAAAGGGGGATAAGACAACTTACGTTGTTACCAGGGGGACCGGGCAGACCACGAGCGCCAGGGAAACCAGCAGCACCCTATAAGAAATCAAGTGTGTTAGTTGTCATTTTCTGAAGTTTGGAAAAACATGAACAAATTGATTTTTATGCAACAGCTGACTTTGAATTATATTTAACTGTTTTGCTTAAAACCTGAATTACATGTCCTGGAACTGAACAAGAAATTAACTTTTTTTTCTTTTTTTTTTTGCAAGGGACAGCCCCATATGTTTCTCAAAGGTGAACCAATGGACTCCAAGAAACTTGGCAAAGATGGCATGTAAATCTAGTAACTGCTGAGATAAGCCATTTCGTAACTTTGGGTCATTGTGCCAAAAGCTATTTTGGCACCTTATATTAGAATCAATATAATCCAGATTACTAAGTGCCTCAACTTTAATTAATCCTTCTGGAACACTCATATCTGCAGTTCAGGAATAATTAAAGTCACTGACAATGTTGTTTTTCATTTCCATCATGTTTGTTCTAATGGAGTCATTTATCAGTGACTAAGAGATACTCACAGGGCCACCAGGAGATCCCCGTTCTCCTTTTGTTCCTTGGGGACCAGGTGGACCCTACAAGGAAGGAAATAGATAAAGCAAATGATTTGATAAATCGATTAAAATTATGGGAAGTGTCAATAAGTTTCAGGCAGGTGAAATGCTTGCACTTCGGCCCAGCCACCGTGAGGCTGAGGGAGAACTGGAAAATCTCTCTTTGTAGCAATAAGGAACAGCAAAAACTTACTGGTGCACCAGGACCACCTTGTGGCCCTGCAGCTCCAGGGGGTCCAGCCTCTCCTCTTAGCCCAGGTGGGCCTCTTTCTCCTTTCCCACCAGGTTCACCGTTTTGGCCCTGTAGCAAAATTATATTGTCATTTTACGTCTCAAAAAATGCAGATGATATCACTGTGATGAGAAACCCTATCCAGATACTCTTCTGGGGGAATTTAAATATGAAATTAAATATGAATGCAGTTGAACTCTATTGGTCTGCCAGTACAGGAAGGGAAGGATAAAGAAGTTTTGCTCTGTGTGACTGAGTACAGAAAGAGTAGCAAATGAATCAAATGTGTGTAGCAGGTAAGTGTATTAAAGGGTTACAGCAAGCCTTTCTGAGATATGGATGAACTCTGAGAAACTGAAAACTGATCATTGCATTCAGTTGCTTCTCAGTATTTATACTCACTGGAGCTCCAGGGAAGCCAGCAGGTCCAGGAAGACCTTGTTCTCCTCGTTCACCCTGTAGAAAACATGTCAGCAATGGAAGACGTTAGAAAGATAGGCTTCATTTTACAAGTTAGACAAGAGTCCCATGAATACCACCAAAGTGACTATGCCTTACCAGCCTTTCAAAGAAAAAAACCCCAAAAAACCCACAAAGCAGTTGCTCCTGAGCTCTAAAAACAACTGTTCAGGAATTATCTAAAGTTTGACAACTGCTCTCAGTTACACCTGTAAAACCCTAAGCACAATCCATAGTTCCCCAGATCCAACTGAGATCCAAATATGCTGTTTTATCTATCTAAAACATAAATACAAGAGCATTTTTTAAAGTTTACTTAACTCTAAGACAAGATGGAAATGACAACTGCTCATACTCTTGCCCTGTCTTGATATATCACCGCAGCCCTCCAATCCCTTTACAGTGTTAAGGAATTCAGAAAATCAGTGCTTTTAACACCTGTAAATCCCAAGAGCCTACAGGACCCACCAAATGTGCTTGGTTTAGTTTGAACTCGAGCCACACGTGTTCCTGACAGGGTTGGTGCAACACTGATGTCTACACTAGGCTAGAGGAGCCATAGTAAAGTTATACTGGAGGAGAAGTTCTACCACTTACAGGACCACCACGGGAACCCATTGGACCTGGGGCTCCTGCTGGACCAGTCTCTCCCTGCAAGGAACGAGAACAGTTACTCCATGTTCTTCTCAGGAGACAGCCACCAGAGGGACTGTTTACAGTATCAAACATCATTATGGAGGATGCTTTACCTTATCTCCAGGTGGGCCGGCAGGACCAGGAGGACCGATGGGACCTACATTACCCTAAACAGTTAGAAATTAATATATTTTGTATCAAAATATGACAATGTTAATTCCTCTATTTTGATCATTATGTTTCGTTAATGTTTCAGTGCCAACAGGTTGCTGAAGATATTTGAATGGAAGTAAGTCTACAATGCAAGTGTGTTGTTGCTCACTACTTTTCAGGGTGACAGATCACACCTTCTTGTGATGTGACAGATCTCCAATTGATTTATCCTCTTCCTCCTCCCCCACCTCCCCACTATCAAAACCTAATCCAAAATCACCTGAATTTAATAGGTCTCTTTCAGTGGTAGACAAGAAAAGTTATCCATTGCCCTAAATTTTCGTATTCATAATTGGTCCGTATTTCTTCAGCATATGTTTGACAGCTCGTGACTAGCTCCCTGGCTTTTTTCTTTCCTGAAAATTGAATGCATACCTGATCGTTTGAAGCATGGTTTTTGTATTTCCTTCAGCTCCTACAAGCTGCATATTTGTATCTGCTATCCCACCTTATTTTGATGAATATAGTGCCTGCATGTACTCATTAGATATATGTATATATATGTGTCCGTTGTATGTGTGTATGCTATATAGGTGTGTAAACATATATGTTAACCTTCATTCTCTGTGAGACCACTTACTACCATGATGTCTTTTTGTGCTTCCTTCAACCAGCATTTTCCTCATCAGTCAGCTAGACTGAGGAAGCTACTAACATTTTTCTCTACTTTTGTGTTGGTGCTTTCCCTCCAAAACATTGTCCCAATTAATTGTATCTTCTGCTTACAAAACAATCTGTTATATGTACCCCAGCAGCTGTAATCACAAAACCCAGTATTAAGTCTAATTTAGTTTATGGAACCAGATGTGAATGCTGGAATGAAATACAAGGGGATTACTACTTCACCTCTCCCAGACAGTGTTTATTCACTGTCAGTTGACTCATGTTCTAAGTGTGACTGTGTGAAGCTGAATGATGAACTGTTAGATGTTTAAAGACTACTCTGGAATGCCATCAGCACCTTTCCCACCAGGTTCTCCCTAGCAAACATAAGATGTAGAAGTCATAAGCAAAAAACAAACACAAGATGAGCGTAAGGGAGGAGAACAAGGATGAAAACATTTCTGAGGAGATCTCATGCTGAGGGTATCTCACAAACAGATTTCCTTCCTGTGATCATACAAATCTGCCAAGTAATTAGCATCAGGTACTCAATACTTTGATGGAAAAAACCCCCTATTTGATTAAAAATGGAGTCTATGTCAAACTGTTGGCCCATGGTATGAACTTCCCTCATTGTTTATTAGCTTAATTAGAACTGTTCTGACCTACCCCACTCCGAAGAGGTCTAGCACAGCAAAATATCTAGCAGGTGAAAAACCCTAAATCTTTTACCATATAGGACTCATCTCACACTGCTAAATTAGCAGCACTGCTATGCAGCCAGTACCTCTGAAATCAGGTCAAAAGTGAACCAGCCCAGTGCTTTGTGGGAAGGTCACACTAAATAATTAGCACAAAATTGGCAGGGTGTGGGTGTGTATGGTTGTGTTACCTTATCTCCCTTTGGTCCAGGGCTCCCAGAAGCTCCTCTTTCTCCTGGCATTCCCTGTAAGCCCGGCAGCCCTGTGCCTCCAGGGGGACCAGGGGGTCCAGGAGGACCCTAAAGAGTAACAAAAAATAATTAGAAAAATATAATATTTAAAAAGGAATATGAACCCGAATGTGAGACATAATGGCAGGAAAGCAGGCAAGTTGTGGGTACCTTGGCACCTTCTGTCCCAGCAGGACCTGGCCCACCTCTTGTTCCAGGAGGTCCTGGAGGACCCTGTGCACCACGTTCACCTGGGATGCCATTTTCGCCCTGTGACAAGGAAACGCGTTATTCTTTGTTGTCAGGTTCGTAGTTTGTAATTCATTCATGACATACAGAAATGTTGCTGCATGACTTACCTTAGGGCCTGGGAATCCGGGTCCTCCAATATCACCTTTTGGCCCCTGTTTATGAGAAAATAAACGCAAGTTAAGCATGTACTGTGCTTAGTAAAACTGCATTGTGGTTGGCAGCCTGTTTCTCTCGCCTATTATCCCTAAAACCAGATTGCTCTGCAGAGTGCTGATAGCTGTATGAATTTGGAGATGTAATCTAGAAAGAACTTCTCATGTATTTTTTGTTACTTAAAAAAAAAGGAAATTACTACTTACTGGTTCTCCAGGCTTTCCATTCTCTCCAGCTGGTCCTGGTCCACCGGGCAATCCCTATTTGAAGGAACAGTATTATCATCGACGTTACATTGAGAAATTATGCATTTTCTTATCTAGCAAATTTTTTTGACACGAAGATGTGTACCCAACTCATTCCAAAGGAGGAGGCGCTAAACTGATAGCTGGGGGGTTTTGTGACATAATCTACTGAGCTAGCCGTCTGGTTCACAACCGTGAAGTAGTAAGCAATAACTTGTGTCAAGTGGTTGATCTGTCTTACTTCAAAATATGAGGACATGCACCCTAATGAAAATGGTTAGATGCCTCCTTTTTGGTTTTCTTCTTTCTTTCTGGCAGGGGTGTGTGTGTGCGCGTTGGGGAGGGGAGGGTGTGGATGTATGTGTGTGTAGGTCTATTAAAAAGAGTCAGAAACCAATCACCAATAAGCACACAGCACCTGGAGGCCGGGTGGACCTGACGGTCCCGGTTCTCCTCTCTCTCCAGAAGCACCCTAGAATTGAACAGAAGGGAAAAAACCATGAAACGGTCTGAGAACATTTCAACGTGTAAACACCGCCGCAGCACCTCTAAGCTGTGATAGCTCCTTAGCGTGGTCTGATGACGACTGTGCACTGTCCCAGAGACTAATGTATCTTGGTGTTCGGGCATTTGCTCTTTTCGCTCCAACCATTCGATGGGCTTCAGCCGCATGCTTACACGTGACACTAGTCTGAAACACCAGCTCTGATAAACGTTAAAGGGAGCAAGAATATGCTTCAGTCTGAACAGGTGGTGGATCCAAAGAGCTCTAAGTTGACTTGGCATTTCAACTTATACCAGATGTACCCGACTCAGGTTTCTCCTAACAAAGTTTTGAGTATTAATTTATTAAAATAATGGCAAAGAAGAGCTTTTATTTGCCTAAATTCACAGCCTCTCTCCGTAGATGCCAGACCACCTTGGCAATAAGAGATAACTGCCTCTCACGGGACTGCCACACTTACCGTAGGTCCAGGAGGACCGGGGAGGCCAACATCACCGTTCTTCCCAGCAGGACCCTATACAAAGACAAAAGTAGGCTATGATGATGGGTTGATCTAATTTTCATGAGTCACAAAGTTATGACTAATTAATATTTTGTAATTATTATGTAATTAAACAAAGAGTTAATGAAACTTACAGGTGTTCCAGGTGGCCCACCAGGTCCTCTTTCTCCGTTCTTACCTGGTGCACCCTTAAAAAAGGGAAAGATCACAATCAGAAACCCTCTTCTGGTCAGCATACAATAACTTGAACATACAGCACCCAGTAGTCCCACTATGGAGCAGCTTAACAGTGGGCTGGCTGATCAAGCATACACACAGGAGAAGTGGAGAAATCCCACTCACCTCATTACCCTTAGGACCCGGGAAACCCATTACACCTGGCTGACCACGTGGGCCTGGGGGGCCTGGTGGACCAGAGCGGCCAGATTCACCCTGATTACCCTGGGATAAGCGAAAAAGAAATGAAGACATGGCAGCTGTTAGGTGAATCCAGTTAATATCCAGGACTCATTAAAGGGTGAGTGAGAGTGACATCAGGCTAGAGACACTGTCATTCAAAAACTTCTGCTTTGTATTTCAGCTAAGGTTCTGTACACTCTGTTTGTTAAACAGGACTGCATGACAAGGTTTAAAAAATGTCATTATAATGAAGCAGCATATAAAGTGCTCTGGTAATTAAAACAAACAAACAAAAGAGACAATTAAGCTGACTGTGCTAACAACCTGTCATGTAGATCCTGTGGGATGAGGGTAAGGTCAGTAGGGGAACTAGTATAAAATATTTGCACAATGTACATACTGGAGGGCCAGGTTTTCCATCGCTTCCAGGGCTTCCTGGAATTCCAGGCAAACCCTGCAATTGAATAAAGAACAATGTTATTTTTCAGGTTAAACTGTGTAGTATTAAGTTACGATGCATACACATAAATGGACATGTTAAACTACTTGATTGATTTTAACCTCTTCAATAAAGATTAAAACTCTTCACATATCCCCCCATCCCATTAAGGGGAAACATTGGAGAAAGGTTAATCAATGTGCACAAAAATTGTATGCTTTCATTACTTGGGAAGAAAACTGATTTGAGATAGTAAAAACCAAGGAATTAAGCTATGTTGACTATGTACCTCCACTTAAAAGCAACAGAAGTTATGTTAGTAAACTTAGTTTATATATTTATATATTATTTCAGTTACATTTTAAATAGCTTATTTCCAATAACATCTCGTTTGGCTCCCAGAAACCTGCAGTCAGGCTGACTTATGAATTTCGATGTATTTGTTGTCAGCAGTTGCTAATTCTTAGTACAGCTCATGGAACGTTGTTACATTCTGTGCACTTTGCACAATAGGTTAGCTCTGAAAATCTTCTTGATGAAAATCCCTGAAAATCTGACCAACAGCTTATTTGCTTTAATTGCATGTAGCACAGTTCAATACAGTAACCCACATACCTGTTCAACACAATAAACATAATGCACTGTATACTAAATTACAACATTTGCTAAAATGTAAATAGGAGATACAGAAACTCGCCCAGTGCTCACTGACATTAAAGCTGTATCTCGTGATAGTGCATGGGATACTCTGAGAAGAGGGGGGCATGTTCAGCTTCATCTAAGCGTTCCCGTTCACTTGGGACAGATGTTCTCTGAACGCCCCGTATCTCTGCATGGGTATCCACTGCACTATGAATAGATGTACTCTACTTAGAGGAATTACTATTTTTTTTTTCTAATTGGGCTCCTCTATTGTATCAGCTCAGATGAGGCATCTCTGATAGAGTTTATCTCATTTCCTTGCAGAGATCTGTCTTACTCTCATTCCAGGAAGACCTGGGCCTCCATCTTGTCCACGCTCTCCTGCAGGTCCACTGGGGCCAGGAGGACCTGGGCCACCACGTTCACCTGCAGGACCCTAAAAAAGAGATGTTGAAATTCACGGCAAGGAAACCAGCATGATATTGAATCTGAAATTCTCCATTCACATGGATTCTGCAAAGGTTTGGGGAGTTTATTAGAGAAGGACTTATACCTTTTCACCTGGAAGTCCATTGCTACCAGGTAAGCCACGGAAACCGGGGGAGCCCTGCCAAAGAAAAGAACACAATATGGATCACAGGCACTATGACTTACGTAATGGCAACTGTTTTTCTTTTGTGTGTAAACTATTTAACATTAGACATATTATTATAAAAATTAATGAAAGAAATAGACGGAAATGACATTTCACCGCAGCAACAAGTTCTGAAGAATTATTTTCTGTAGATACAACCCTCCTGTTGAAATCATAGTCTGTCTCTATTTTTTTTAACTGGCCCTGCATTAGTTACTTTATCCATGAGTCTTTCTAAATTCGTATCAAAATAAAGCAACAGATTCAGGCTTCAACAATTATTTTTTTCTAATTCAATACTGAGAAGAGCTCTATTGTATTTTTTAATATTTCTATTTACTACTGTCTTCATTGCTTACAAGAAACCTTAATTACAAAATTTAAATTGCAACCCTCTTCATATATTTAATATGATTAATTTGTTCCCTGTGCATCTTTGAAGAAAGTATGTAACTTACTTCAGACTGAGATAGATCCAAGCACTGCCATTCAGATGAGAAACTAGGTAAGAATTCTCCCCAGTTTCGTAACCCAGTTCATATCTGGAATTTGCTGAGAACAGCTATGGAGCCAAATTTCTCCTGAAAGCATTTTGGACACCAGCTTTTGCTGTCTCTGTATTAACTCAGGGTGTACCTTGTGTGTATGGCCACCTGCAGCAGCTTACCCTTTCTCCGGGTGTACCAGGTACGCCATTCTGGCCGGGTTCACCATTTGCACCTCTTTTGCCTTCCTCACCAGGCGGACCAGGAGCCCCCGGGGTGCCATTTTCACCCTGACAACAACAACAAAGCAGCCCACCAGTTAGAAGTCAGTTAGAAGTCTCCAAAAGAAAACCTGGGGTTTTGTATGGGGAATGATTCAGTGTTCAGACTTCCTGGGAGGAAGTCTCTGAATGCATTTTAAAATCACTTACACGCTCGCCTTTTGGGCCTGGATCTCCCTTTGCACCATTCTTCCCAGGTTCTCCCTAAACAGAAGAAAATTCCATTAAAAGTGTGGATTGCATATATGGGTATTATTCTAGAAATAGTTGTGATATCTGTCAAATTATTGACTGATTTTTATTATTTACATTCTGCAAACGAATTAGCAGACACTAGTTAAACCTGAATGTGGAATGCATGGGTGTCCTTAAAAATGCAGTAAAGGAAAGAAGCAATACAATCTTAAACGCCACTGAGTAAAAGTTTATGTCTATTTCTGGGTTATTTCAGACCATATTGTTACTTTTACTTGAAGTCCTTGAGTGTTTCTTTGAGAAAGAACTAGGTGTGATGTAAGGCTCTTAGGAAAGAGCATATTGGGTTAAATGAGCGTGTGAGTCACTACACCTAGTCCACTCACTAGTCCATGCAAATCTGAAGAGGTGAAACTAGTATTTTAAAATAATAGATTTTGTCTAATGTGGCTGTTTTAGATAAGCTATTTTTCTGTTGTTTCTGATTTGATAGATAATTTAGGAAAGCAAATGAATCTTATTATCATAACTGTATAATTTTATATACAGCCATACATAAAGTAATGTGTGAAGAGAAATATATATTTATAACAATAATTGCCTATTGTTATATTATAAAATAATTCATTAGGCTATCTCAAGTGAATAGGAAAACTGTAATGTGTTTTTTTAATGGTATCAGAACTACTTCCACCATATTTGGTTGTATAACTGGGGTAATGAATATCAGTAACTCACCGGAGTGCCTTTTGCTCCAGGGTTTCCACTTGTACCTGGAGGACCAGGAAGACCACGGCCTCCTGGCAGACCAGGAGCACCAGGAATACCAGAAGGTCCCTGTATAGAGTCAAAAGGAGACCGGGATGAAGAGAGCACAGCATTGTTGAACTCTGCCCAGTCCAAACTGCTGCCCGCACCCACACAGTGCAGCAAAAGTCTGATGTCAGAAGTACCCACCATTTCACCCTTGTTGCCAGGGCTTCCAGCTCTTCCAGGAGGACCCTGTAAAAAAGAAATGTCTAAATAATTGCTGCTGCTAACCTAGTGTCCTTAAACCAAAGGACTCGCAGGGATTTGTGAAGACCTGGTGGCACAACACTTGCCAGTTCCCGTGTGGTATTTATGTACCTGAGGCCCGGGCGGCCCAGCATGACCCTGAGGACCAGGTTCCCCTCTCTCTCCAGGACTACCACTAGCACCAGCAGGACCAGGAGGACCAGCTTCACCCTATGGAAAAACAGGAAAAGGGGAAAATGAACGAGTTTTAACCTTGTCTCCAGGGCGATAAGTATTAGGTTCATGGTTTCTTCCTCTGCTGTGGCACCTTGGTGTGATTCAGAAGAAGGTTACCACCACCACCACCTGAATACAAGAGCCAAATCAGCACAGTGACCCCGGTGCTGAGGCACAAGGTACCAATGCACTCCCACCAACCCCGTGCAGGGCTCCTCCAAGTTGCAGGAAGTTAACCTGAGCCCCTCCCATGTGCAACATAAAAAACTGGGTCTACCACTTAGTGGTGTTTTGGGATGCATATTCGTGAAGGCGGTGAGGACAGGGTTTGTCTCATGCTGCATATGAAAACACGTCAGTTCTAGGCTTGCAAACACTGTAAAAGCAGCCAGAAAAAGGAGGACTCATAAAGATGTATAGTGACATCTTTATTAGCTGGTGTATAGCGTGTAGCTGGGTAGCTAGAGAACGGACTAAATCCCACATTAGTATGCATCTTTAGCTGCATACCTTGAAACCTGGAGAGCCTGGAAATCCTGCAGTTCCAGGGGGACCAGGGGGACCCTTAAAAGTGAAAGAAATACTATTAGTACAAGAGGTAAAAGCCATATGGAGTTAATCTTAAGTTTTTTTAAAAAAAAAAGCCTGATTATTAGATTTTTCTCTGAGTAAAGAAACACCTGGCAACATAGCAAATATAAATCATGCTGCAGAAGGTGACGTTTGGCTAGTCCTAAAATATTACACCTACATCTTAGATACCCTGACTTTGACAGGTTCAGCTAAATTTTGGTGTTGTAAATTTAAAACCCATGAAAGCTATCATTAAAGATTAAGTTATAAAATATGTCCAAAATGTGTTCTAATTAAAAAAAAGGTGTAGGAGAAAAAGGAGCCAATATAACTGTTACATGTACAAATGGACATGTCAGGTTTGTAGGCAGATGGAAAGGAAAAATTTTTGCTCATCTCAGGCAGCTATATAATGATAGGACCATTAAAAATTTGATCTGCATAAGGAACAGCAATTTATGCATTCTCTCGAGCAATCTGGGTTTGGATTTATGCATTTTCTGATTTACAGTGTTAAAGCTCTCCTATTTCATTGCATACTTCAAGTACCTTAACCAACGGAGTCATGAAATATAATTCAGTAACATGCTCATCCTTAAGCCAGTGCACCCCAGTCTGGGGTTTGCCAGCACTGCGGAACATCAGTGGGCAGTAACTAGATTCAAGCTACACAAATACTTAAAGTCAAACATCTGTAAGACTCCTTACGGGTGGGCCTGCTGCTCCTGGAGATCCGTCTTTGCCATGGGCACCCTGTGGAAAGAAGAGAGCTGTTGGAGACAGAGCACCACCCTGGACACAGAGCCCATATGCTTTAATGCCTGTCACTCACAGGCCACCTTTTTGTGTCTGCACATTCCCACTCAGTTTGTCATAACCCAAGGATTCCTCAACTGTGAAAATCTAAAATAACAATTGACTAAATGTTATTGAAGGAATATTGATCCCTTTATGTGACTTGTACTGAAATGATGAGACAGCAAGATACAAAAATGCATTTAGATTTCTTAAGAAAATAACCGTTACAAAGCATCATCGGTGTGGCCAGTTCTTAAGGTTAAATAAGCAAGATCACAATAGATGCTGTATATTTCAAAAGTAACAGTTAACATCTAATTCCCATAGAAGACTAAAATTTCACTCCAAAAACCTAGCAAACAGTGGTAGGATTCAAATCCTGTTGTCTATCTTCTAGATAGGTTAGAGCAGGGCTGCTACTCAGGTTCTGTAGTGTTTGTACGAACAAGTTGCTGGTTACTATACCTTAGCTGTACTTCGTGATTGTGTTGATGCAACGAACTGTGACTCCTTCAGAGCAAAGAATATACCCTAATCTCAGTCGAAGACTAATTTTATCTCTTTCCTGTAAGTTACTTCAGAGATGATTGCATTTTTTTCCTCTCTGTCTTCTGCTGCTGCCCTTTGCTCCCACTCCTCCTCCCAATTCCTCATGGCTGAACCTGAGCTTTTGCTGAAACACTGAATTACTCCCTCAACGTGTAATCTGTTCATTTAAAAAGGAAATAGAGAATAAGATGGTGAACATGTTCTGAGTTAGAGGTGTTATGTGTGTAAGTGGGGACTGAAAAGTTTTGATGTATGATTCTACAGATGTTATATGGTTTTCTGATCCTTTGCATTACAACTGCTTTAAAATAGATCTGTGAAGCAGGGAGTTCCCAACCTATTGAAACAAGATACATGCTGTTTCCGGGTAAGAGCAACAGCTGCAGTTACTTACAGGGCCACCAGGATTCCCAGGTCTTCCACGTTCACCAGCTGGACCTCTTGGCCCCTAGAAAACAGAAAAAAACAAGTCTGTCATGTGGTTTCCAAAATAATATGGCCTGTCAAGGAGACATTGCTCTTATTTGTATATCTCAGTATTGTTCAATGCATGTGGTGATGTAATTAAAGTTAAAAGAAAGTGCCATGGGAACTTCTAATTAAATCCTGCAGCATACACATATTTACCGGTTGTCCTGGTGATCCATTTGCTCCAGGAAGACCTGTTTCACCCTGTTATGGAAAGAAAACACCAGTGACTGAATGAATTTTGGTGAGAATACTTTTTGGTTTAGCCAAGGGGAGGAGACATAGGAACAAGACAGCCCAATCCGCTGTCCCTTTCTGTGGAATGCTGTGTGTCCTCGGCACGAACTGTGGGCTGTGAGGTCTCAGAAGTCTAAGCAAGAGCTGAAACAATGTATTTAAAGAGAAAAAGAAAAAAGACAACTTGGTCTTTTACTATTGTGCAATAAATTCAGATAATCCACGCATGTCCTTTCATTTTGGAATCTCATCTTTGTTACGTGTGGAAAATTGGGACATGCCATGGTTCAGAAAACCTAACTCAGTTGGAATGACTCTCATGCTTTTCACGAAGATATTCAATAATTTTCTTCAACGTCTAGTGGATTTTTATAGTTGCGTAATATGCAAAGCGTAGCTATCTAACAATCGACGGGCAGTAGTATTCTACCTATTACAAAGATGACACCAGAGTTTTTTACCTTCGGACCAGGAGCGCCGCTGTCACCTCTGGCACCATCTTTTCCATCAAAACCCTATGGGAAAGAAAAACCGTAACTGTGATTAGTGTTTCTCTTGCATTCTGGAAAACTTGATTCCTCTTTGCAAAATATTAAACTTCAATACAAACTCATATAAAGGGACGTATTTTTAATACTGAGTGCTATCAGCTATAGGAACACTTTTTGAAGGAAAATTCTGAATCCTCCATCCCTCTGTGGCTATTATGTATGAAAGGATGCTTTTCTGGAAGGCATGCTTTAGCCCAGCATTGGGGACGAAGCTCTACAACTAGAGGTACCTAGATAAAATTTATCAGTCTCTGTTATGGAAGGTCAGATTACATTGTCCAGAAATTGATCTTCAGTTCTATGATTCAGTCTTTTTCACCGGTAATTGATGACTGAAAGAGCACAGCAATGCAGCACAGTAATTCAAGTAGAGTAGCCGTCTCAGCTATACTCAGTACTTACTCGCTGGCCTTTCATTCCAGGCATTCCAGGCATTCCAGGGTGTCCCTTGTGACCCTAAACACACAAATACAGAAAGGTGAATAAATGACATACTTACAATAGGAAGGACACAAGCCAATGTTCATTGTATCTCATGTCCACCTGGCCAACTTAAAATAGGAAAGCAGAATCTTTGATTAGAAGACCATTGTTACTGGGGGCTTTTCCATACCGGTAATCCAGGGATTCCACGATCTCCATTTCTCCCTGGTCTTCCAGGTTCTCCCTATTGAAGGAAAGTAAAATTTTTTGACTGCTCTGCTATTGCTTCAGTGACTGGCGAAGAACCAGTCCTAGAAGATGAAGGGACGTTGGAATATGCAGGTGAAACTTCCACCAAAGACAGTGGGTAAAATCAGCATCAGGGTGACAATTCAGTATATGACTGCCTTCGGAAAAACAGTTGCCAGAACTTATAAACTCAATTTCTAACAAGATTTTGCTCAACATCTAATTTATTTCAAGCCAATTTTTAGGAAGAGTTGATCACAGAAAACTTAATTTTCATGGTGAAACACTCAAATGGATAACATATTTAGCTGAAGGTCTTGCATTGTATTATGTCTATGCAGGACTCCCAGCTGTGCCAGAAAAAGGAGTTTAACAGCCTTAAGTCTCAAAGCAAGATTTGAAGGGAGCAGGCAGCTACCACTACTATCTTCTTTTCTTTATAACTGCCAACTTATTTTGCACCAGATCAAAAGAGGGAACTTCATACTTAGGTTTTCTTTTTTTTTTTTTTAAATTGCATGAATCAAATTGGCTGCTAAAATTAAAACGTTTTTGGGAATGGACATGTATAACTAATGGAAGGCAAACGTTTCTTACAGTCATGTTGTCAAATTGAGAAATAGGGAGATGTTAAATATTCTTAAATGCAATGGTATCAATGTGCTCTGCTGTCTTAACATTCAATGAACCTTCTTTCTTTCCATTTATTAATCACTGGATGAATAATAGTGAACTTACATCTTTTCCTGGTGGACCAACGGGGCCTATCATTCCAACAGGGCCTGGAGGTCCCTGTAGAAAAATAATTCATGTTAACCATAAAAATAAATCTTAAGTGTCTTTCAAGTTAAAAATGCACTAGGTGTCATAAAATACTTGTACATTTGACATACACAATAGTAAGCAGACAGGATAAACACTAAAATTTTAGTCCACTTGAGTGATGACACAGATTCATGCTGGTAAGATCATGCCTTGAACTACAGCGATATGTAATGCATACATACGGGAGCGCCAGGTTGTCCTGGTTCTCCGGGTGAGCCTTGGTATCCAGCAGAGCCCTATAATGCAGGACAAAACCAGTTAGGACATGCATCATTCCATAGTGCTACTATATTTTATCATAATCTCATAATTGTAAAGAAAATGTTAGTCAGAACTGTCACCAAATGACCAAAAGTGAAATCAGCAGATCCAAGCAGAATATGCCTCCATGAGAAAAGAATTAAATGTACTCCTCTAAAAGGAGATGTACATAAAAAAAAATCAGACCCTTGGTTTGCTCACTGAATGTGCATCAGGATTCCAACTTTTCTGTATCTCCTGCTAAATTTTTGTATGAATAGAGGTTTGGGAATGTTAACAGAGGATGATAGGCAATGGCGTGTCTTAAGAAAACCTTAGCCAACACCCCACAGAACTACAGAAAGCACTGGGGAACACAAGGAGAAGCAAGTACAGCTTATAGCCCTCAGCCATTCAGTACTGCTAATGCATAGGGGGTACATCCCAGCTAAGAGAAGACGACATTTATCCATAAAATTCTTCAGCATAGTATCTAGATTTATCAGTTAAAAATATACATAATATTTATGACAGAGAAAAAGAGAAGCTTATATAAAAGAATATGAGATGGTTATGAAAAGATTCATTTTACTTACAGGGGGACCTGCATGTCCAGGTGGGCCAGGGGGGCCACTGGGACCAGGGGGTCCTGGAAAGCCAGTCTATAGTGTAGATTGAAAAATAGTCATTATATTAATGTAATACAGCTATAAAGCTTAATGTAGTCGCAATAGTCACCAATAACTGTGAAATTAATTTTTACATATTAGTACAGAGAAAAATCCACGGTGACATGCACTCGGTGCAGTAAACCTGCAGCAGCAGTATGTAAACACATTGCTAAATACATTGTCTGGTACCTACAGTCCATTCAGAAAAAGGATCACTAGGTTTCTCTTTGTAGCTTTAGCTAACATGCTCCACGAGATATTTTCAAAGGTGCAATATTTTTTCTTCTAAGTTACTATTCTGTTTCTTTAGACCCCTGTAAGGATGCTCACAGCTCAGCTCCTCAGCAACCTAAACTGGAAGAATAGATAACTGTAACTCCTAATTTGTTAAACAGAGTAAACGAGCTTCAGCTTCTCTGCCATATAACTGAGCTATATTAGCCTACATCTACATTTTCAGTGGTGGAGCCAAAGTGTACTCAAACTTGCTTGCCAGTCTATTGATGCCAGATTTTGCTTTCTAAAACTGATTTTAAAATTTCTCACCTGCATTCAGGAGCTATATTACATACACAGCCCTTTAGAAGAACTTTCTATGATAAACTCTGTTTATAACCATAGACTTCTTACAACAGGTATACCCAGGTATACTGCATTAAGGCCATATTTCTGTTACTTGCCAGTAAGGCAGGCATTTTCACCAATGACACCTTTTCTGAACTTTAAAGTTACTAAGCCACAAAAAATAAATGATGGCTGGACTAACCAGAGGACTGAAAGGATGAAAGCTCAAGCGAACTAAGTTTTAACTCAGATCAGTAATATAGTTCCTTATTTTAACTGGTAAAAAGGGAGTAAAATATTATTAACAAAATTCTCAGTTTGATAAGAGGGCTAATATTTCTACTTTCTGCAGCAACAACCCCAAAAACATTTGATACTGTGTCGTGGTTTAACTCCAGC